ATCATTTATAATTTTTTTATTGCTCATTGTTATTTAAACGAATAATCATCGCCGTTTGTGAAGTGCGTCCGTCGTCTTCTTTGGTTTTTCTTGTGTGCTGTGGAGAAAATATTAAAGAAAATAGAAGCGAAAAAAAACTATTTGGAATTTATTAAAAACGCAAAAAACTTATAATTTATTTTATTACTAGAATTTTACGCTAAATTAAAGCAGAAAACAAATTAAAGAAAATTTTACGTCCTCTTAAAACTGTGAAATTTTGCTGTAGTAAAGCAAATAGAAATAAAGTGAAAATATATACTGCGAATTAAATTTTGTTGGTCAAAATGTTTCATAATAAATTAATTACTTTGGCCATATTATCAACGGCCTGCTTGCTAACAGGTAAATAATATCACAATATATTAAATTTTTTTAATAATATTCCATAATTTTTTTTATTAAATTAAGCTATTTTTTGTAAGTGCTTTGTTCTGGTCAAGTTTAGACGTCATTTTTTATTTTGCTTTTGCTTTGCAAAGACAAAAAAGCAAAAACAAATAGCAAAAAACAGTAGTTGGTGAAAAAAAAATACATAAAGGGTCTATTTCATTTGCTCTCAGCTGATGCGTTCTATGTTTTTGTTGTTCTCTTCTTTAAGTATTTGTTGTTTTATTTTAATAAAGCAATTTTGTTTTTGCCATTAGCCCCCCCAACAACAACATTATTATTGTATTGTTGTTTGTTTTTTGCTAGTTAAAACGAAATTTCCAGTTATTTTTTTTACTTATACCTGGTTCTTCTTTCTTTGTTGCAGTTTTTTTTTTGTTTTATTTTAATTCACTTTTTATGCCATATTTTCTGCTTTTTTAAATGAAATTTATTAATTTAATTTACCTGTTGAAAAATTGTTGTTTATTATGCCTTTTATATCAAGTTAATTGTAATTTCATCACTTTTTGCACTTCTAAAGTCTAATAAAGGAAAGAAGACGAAGAAATAGCTAAGAGTGAAATTAATGCGAAACAATTCTATTTAAAATGGGGGGATTTTTGAGTTTATAGAAATAGAATAAAAAATCGAAAAATGTCTATATAAAAATTATTATAATTAATTGGTACTAGAGATCTCGTTGTTGAACCCGGTTCTCTTGCTGAAAAATTTTCCTTTCGTTTACCCCGGGTATATTTATTGAAGGAAATAAATAATTCTATACCTTTTACATCAATATTGTAGAATTTTCATAAATGTTTACGTTTCTAGTTAGATAGTTAGTTAGTTAGTTAGTTAGTTAGTTAGTTAGTTAGTAGTTAGTTAGTTAGTTAGTTAGTTAGTTAGTAGTTAGTTAGTTAGTTAGTTAGTTAGTTAGTTAGTTAGTTAGTTAGTTAGTTAGTAGTTAGTTAGTTAGTTAGTTAGTTAGTTAGTTAGTTAGTTAGTTAGTTAGTTAGTAGTTAGTTAGTTAGTTAGTAGTTAGTTAGTTAGTTAGTTAGTTAGTTAGTTAGTAGTTAGTTAGTAGTTAGTTAGTTAGTTAGTTAGTTAGTTAGTTAGTTAGTTAGTTAGTTAGTTAGTTAGTTAGTTAGTTAGTTAGTTAGTTAGTTAGTTAGTTAGTTAGTTAGTTAGTTAGTTAGTTAGTTAGTTAGTTAGTTAGTAGTTAGTTAGTTAGTTAGTTAGTTAGTTAGTTAGTTAGTTAATTAGTTAGTTAGTAGTTAGTTAGTTAGTTAGTTAGTTAGTTAGTTAGTTAGTTAGTTAGTTAGTTAGTTAGTTAGTTAGTTATTTAGTTAGTTAGTTTAGTTAGTTAGTTAGTTAGTTAGTTAGTTAGTTAGTTAGTTAGTTAGTTAGTTAGTTAGTTAGTTAGTTAGTTAGTTAGTTAGTTAGTTAGTTAGTTAGTTAGTTAGTTAGTTAGTTAGTTAGTTAGTTAGTTAGTTAGTTAGTTATTTAGTTAGTTAGTTAGTTACTTACTTATTTAGTTAGTTAGTTAGTTACTTATTTAGTTACTTATTTAGTTAGTTAGTTACTTACTTACTTATTTAGTTAGTTAGTTAGTTAGTTACTTATTTAGTTACTTATTTAGTTAGTTAGTTAGTTACTTATTTAGTTAGTTAGTTAGTAGTTAGTTAGTTAGTTAGTTAGTTAGTTAGTTAGTTAGTTAGTTAGTTAGTTAGTTAGTTAGTTAGTAGTTAGTTAGTTAGTTAGTTAGTTAGTTAGTTAGTTAGTTAGTTAGTTAGTTAGTTAGTTAGTTAGTTAGTTAGTTAGTTAGTTAGTTAGTTAGTTAGTTAGTTAGTTAGTTAGTTAGTTAGTTAGTTAGTTAGTTAGTAGTTAGTTAGTAGTTAGTTAGTTAGTTAGTTAGTTAGTTAGTTAGTTAGTTAGTTAGTTAGTTAGTTAGTTAGTTAGTTAGTTAGTTAGTTAGTTAGTTAGTTAGTTAGTTAGTTAGTTAGTTAGTTAGTTAGTTAGTTAGTTAGTTAGTTAGTTAGTTAGTTAGTTAGTTAGTTAGTTAGTTAGTTAGTTAGTTAGTTAGTTACGTATTTAGTTAGTTAGTTAGTTAGTTAGCACAGAAGATCAGTCTAAAGCTTGAACTACAAATCAATCTTAAGTTGTCACTATAGATCGGATATCCATGATCAGTTCATAATCTGGAAAAATTCAGCCTTTATATCAAGACTGCAGCTCAGTCTATAGTCAAGACTATAGTTCAGTCCATAGTTGGATTATATGTACATCAGATTATAGACAAAACCAATAGAATGGTCAATGCTGTAGATCAGTCAATAGTCAAGGCTAAAGATAGCCTACAGTCAAGGCTTACGTTTAAACTTTAGTTTTAACTGTAGATCAGTATTTAGTTTGGACTATAAACTGCAGATCAGTATACTATAGATCAGTCTTCAATTTGACTAAAATATGTACTACAGATCAGTCTATAGCCAATACTAAAGACAAGGCTAAAGATCATTCAATAGTCAAGCCTTATAGAACAATCTATAATCAATACTATAGCTCAATATATAGTCAAGACTTTGGGTCAGTGAGAACTAAAGATCAGTCTGTCAGATCACTTTATAATCTAAACTATAGATGGTACTATACTCGTGATAAAAATAATAATGTTTTCTTTTTGATAAGAATGACGACTCTTCAACCAAAATTTAAATGCATTTTTATTAATAACAAAAAAACATATTAAAATTTTATGTTGACATTTTAGACAAATTGTTTTTTATTTATTAAAACAATTAAATAGTTTTTATTTATTTGTGATAAGAAAATATTGTTTTCTTTTCCACGCGCTTAAAACTGAGATAAAGTTATTTGCAATAGGCCGTCCGTCAAACGGGATGATTAAATTCCCTATAAATTTTTGTTGTTTTTGCTTTTTTTATAAACAAAAAATGCATATTTTAAGCTCAGATTTACTAAACGACATTGATATATGCCAATCAACTATAACAATAAAAAAATTATATGAATAATAAGCCTTTTTTTTTTCGAAATTAACAATTATATACAGACTCTTCTTATCTGTTAACGTTTATAAACAAATTATTATACATACTATATTAGTTCAGTTTTATACATATGTATAACGACAAATGAAATTTTAGTTTTTAGTAAATATTTTGTACACGTTGGAAGTTAAAGCAAACAACAACAATTAAATATTTGTTATTAAGTATTTTGATTTCTATTTAATAAAGTAAATTGCTCATATTATAGGAAATTTAGTAACCGCTAAACACTACACCCCTATTATTTGTTGTTGTTTTAAATAATATTTACCATATTCTATTACTCATTAAGAGTTGCTTTGATTTTTGAAATAAACACCATATTATACTTTGTATTGCAGTTCACAAATTACATATTTTTCATAATAAACCCTGATATTGACAGTGGAATATTTCACAAAAAATAAGGGCGTTTATTTTTCTCTTTCTTATAGTGATAAACAATTGTAATTGTTTTATTTAAAGTTTAAGATATCTTTATAAAACTAAATTGCAACCACATTATTCATACAACGTTGTTTTAAAATGATGACCTTTAAACTCACAAAACAAACAAAACATTAGAATTTGTTATTTTATTGATTACCTAATTCCTCCCTCATTGTTTTTAGTTATAATATTAAATTTCGTTTTTTTATGGTTTTACTAAACTTTGAAAATGGTAGTCAAGTTGTTGTTTGTGGTTTTCTATTAGACTTTAAACAAAACTAACTTTAGAAAAATGACGCTAATCTTTTAAAACTTGGTAGACAAGTGTTCCTTTTTTAAATAGTTAAATAGTACACAAAATAATATTTACCCCTTTTTTTCTGCACCTAATTCTATGTGTAAATGGTTGTTTATTCAACTTGTTTTATTTTAAATACTATTGTTGTCTCATTACTTATATTTAATTAACATTTTTCTTTGTTCTTCATAAATCAAAGTTTACTGATAATTTAGTTTAAGTTAAATGTTATATAGATTTATTAACGACTCTAGTAAACAGTAAATATAAATCAAAACTAATAAGTAGATGGATGATCTTTATAATACTGATGCTAGTTATCATCAGTATTATAAATTGAAATTTTTTATGGAAAATTTTTTAAAATTTTCCTTTGAGACTATTAATCAAATCTAATAAGATGACGAATTTTGAATTTTTTAAAGAAATTTTCAAGTGAAATTTTGAATTTCTAGAGAAATTTTTGAGTGAAATTTCATATTTTTAGAAAATAAATGTATTATATAATTAGTTCCTGAAAATTTTGAATATCTAATGAAGATTTACACATTTTGAATATTTAATTTTAGTGAAATTTCGAATTTCTAATGAAATTTTGAATTTTTAGCGAATTTATAGAGAAATTTTGATTTTTTTTTTACTACAAATTTTCAGATTCAAGTAAATTTCGATTTCTTAGTTTAATATGTATTAAATTTTAGTGAAATTTTGAATTTTGATATTGTGAATTTCTGTTTAAATTTAAAATTTTTTTAGTGAAATTTCGAAATTCGAGTGTAATCACTATTTTAATAAAAAAAAAAATTAATTTTAAATAAAATTTTGAATTTCTAGTAAAATTGTGAATTTTAAATAAAATTTTGAATTTCTAGTGAAATTTCGATATTCTACAAAAAAATCGAATTTTTTTGTGAAATTTTAAATTTCGGATATTTCTAGAATTTATTGTAAATTTTCCAATTTTTAGTTAAAATTTCGAATTTTTAAGGAAGTAGAAGTTCCGAATTTCTTATGAAATTTCGATATTCTAGTGCGAATTTAAATTTTGAATTTATAAAATTCTAATGAATTTAGCTTTTTTTGGGTGAAATTTTCAATGAAATTCTCTCTTTTAGTGAAATTTCGATATTCTAGTAAAAATTTGAATTTTAGTGAAATATCGAATTTTTGGTGTGAAATTAAAAATTTTTAGTGAAACTTCGAATTTAGATTAAAATTTAAATTTTAAGTGAAATTTCGGGTTAAATTTAGAATTTTAGTGAAGAAGGACAATACAATTTTTGGTTAATAAATTATGAATTTCTAGTGGAAATACAAAGTCTGTTGTCTTGACTATAGAGTATCTATGACTATAGAGTTATCTATCTATATAGTTATCTATAGTCTGGACTATAGACTGATCTATAGTCTGGACTATAGGACTGATCTATAGTCTGGACTATAGACTAATCTATAGTCTGAACTATAGACTGATCAATAGTATGGACTAGTCTGGACTAAGACTGATCTATAGTCTGGACTATAGACTGATCTATAGTCTGGACTATAGACTGATCTATAGTTTGGACTAGACTGATCTATAGTCTGGACTGTAGACAGATCTATAGACCGGACTATAGACTGATCTATATACTGATCTATAGTCTGAACTATAGGTGTATATCTATAGTCTGAATTATAGACTCATCTTTAGTTTGTATTATAGGCTGATCTGTAGTCTGGACTATGTAGACAGATCTATAGTCTGTATCTATAGACTGATTCCTGTAGTTTTTGAACTATAGACTGATCTATAGTGGACTATAGACTTATCTATACGCGGATCTATAGTCTGGACTAAAGACTGATCTATATACGGATCTATAGGTTAGACTTAGCCGATCTATAGTTGGACTATTAGACTGATCTACAGTCTGGACTATATACTGGATCTCTAGTCTCGCCTATAGACTGATCTATGGTCTGGACAATATAATGATATATAGTCTGGACTGTAGACTGATCTATAATCTGAACTATAGCCTGATCTATAGTCTGAACTATAGCCTGACTATAGTCTGACTATAATCTATCTATAGTCTTGGACTATAATCTACTCTATAGTCTGGACTATAGCTGATCTATAGTCTGGACTATAGCCTGTTTCTATAGTCTGAACTATAGGACTGATCTATAGATGATCTACCGACTTTACTTTTTTACTGATCTGTAGTCTTGCCTATTATAGATGATCTACTGTTTCGACTATATACTAGGCAAAATCCTGTAAACTGATCTGAAGGCTTAAGCCTAACTGATTTACATTCAATATTCAAGTCTTTTATAAAAGTTTAAATAAAAATTTCAAATATCGAGATGAGATAAACACTCCATTTGTAAATTCCTTTTTTCAAAACCCCAAAAGTTCAGGCAATTGTTAAATATTAAAATATTTTTTTTTAAATTTATCTTGTTTTAATTTTGTTGATTTTGTTAAAGATAAAGAAATATGTATAATATATTTTTATTAATTTCAATATTGCCTTAAATAAATAATGTCAAGTGCTTGCATTATATATTTTTTTTGTTCTTTCGTCTCTTCCAGCTAAATAAATCCATTTTAATTTATCTTTAGTAGGTTGTTGATGTCGCTGGTCACAGCGTTAAGTGTTTTTTTTTTTTGTGAATTTGCCGCATGTACGCAGGGATGGGAGAGGCGTTTTAAATTCTTTAAGCAAAAAAATTTCAATTATTACTATAGCATGGACCTTTTCTTCTACTAGAAACTATGAGTTTCAAATTCAAAATAAATCTACAAATTCAAATTTAAAAAAAAACTGCTTAAATAGGGATTGTTTTATGACGTTAAAGTAATGCATTACATTTTCCCATTTCTGTACTTAGGTCTTTATTTAAATTAAATTTAACACAAGATAAAACGACTTAAATAAATACCCTTAATCAACGTTTTATTATGTAGTTGTTTATTTATTTATTCTTCTTCTTTTCCATTACAATTTCGGAAATTTGGAGAATCTTTAACATTTATCGTCTTAAATATAAATGGAATTATGGCGTATGAATGAGATGAAAGTTCAGTTATCATTTGCTGGTTACATGTTAATTCAAATTTGTGTTTTTGTACTATTAGATAAGATAAGTTAGATTATCTCTATTTTTCTCTGGTAAGAACACAGAGATAAACTTGTGATTATTTGATTATATTAAGTTTTTTATTATTAAATATATAAATAGTATTTTTAGTTAGTGGTTTATTTATTAATTAATATGAAAATGTGGTTAACTACTTATTGCGTTTATTATTTTATTGAATATAAAAAGGAAATACCTATTATTTGTTCCAAATACTTTGACCTATTTATTATTTAACTCTGTGATGCTTTTAATACAAAAATTCATTCATTATTTTTTTTGATTAATTTGTCATCAATTATAATAATTAAAATCTTTCGATTGCAATACTTTATATTTAAATATTTTTTTCTGATCAATTTGGTTTTTTGCTTTGATTTCAAGGTTTGTTTCAGCATTGAGTTCCCGCATTTTTCTTATCTATAAAATTTATTTCCAAAGTATATAATAGGTCAATTTTATGCTTTCTTTAATAAAAATATTTTTTTTCCAATTTTTAGATAAAAGGATTATTTTTAAATTACATTTGTTTCTTTTTTATTGTTGTGAAGTAAATACAAATGTATGTAGTTTTAAATAACACTTGGTAACCATTTTGTTGTTTATAGTAGTTTATTGTTTTTGTTTGCTCTGTTTGTGTTTAAAAAATATAAGTAATTGTTATTTATGCATCATCGCAAAATATCGCTTTAAAAATGAGTCACAGTTTTAAAAAAAATAAACAAACTCAGACAAGCCAAGCGTACTGTAGCAATTAGGGAAAATTTGTTTTTGTTTCCATGAAATAGGGTTAAAGTGAAAAATTAATTTGCCACAACAAAGTGATAAAGTCACTATAATCTTAACTTATTGTATGGCCTCAAACTTTAGTTCAGTCTATAGTCTGGTTTATAGGTCTGCTCTACCTACTAATCTTTAATCTAAAGTTTGATCTCTCGTTCATTATTCTTAACTATGTATATTCTGTTCTATAGTTTAGTCTAAATTCTAGACTAATGTCTAGTCTGCAGCATAAACTAGTCTCTAGGGTAGACTATAGGTAAATCTCTAGGATAGTCCATAGTCTAGTCTATAATCTACTCTATAAGTAGTCTATAGCCTACTCCATAGTCCATAGTATACTCTACAGTCTATAGTCTAGTCTATAGTCTAGTCTAAGTCTAGTCTATCGTCTAGTCTAGTCTATAGTCTAGTCTATATTCTAGTCTATAGTCTAGTCTATAGTCTAGTCGATAGTCTAGTATATAGTCTAGTCTATAGTCTAGTCTATAGTCTAGTCTATAGTCTAGTCTATAGTCTAGTCTATAGTCTAGTCTATAGTCTAGTCTATAGTCTAGTCTATAGTCTAGTCTATAGTCTAGTCTATAGTCTAGTCTATAGTCTAGTCTATAGTCTAGTCTATAGTCTAGTCTATAGTCTAGTCTATAGTCTAGTCTATAGTCTAGTCTATAGTCTAGTCTATAGTCTAGTCTATAGTCTAGTCTATAGTCTAGTCTATAGTCTAGTCTATAGTCTAGTCTATAGTCTAGTCTATAGTCTAGTCTATAGTCTAGTCTATAGTCTAGTCTATAGTCTAGTCTATAGTCTAGTCTATAGTCTAGTCTATAGTCTAGTCTATAGTCTAGTCTATAGTCTAGTCTATAGTCTAGTCTATAGTCTAGTCTATAGTCTAGTCTATAGTCTAGTCTATAGTCTAGTCTATAGTCTAGTCTATAGTCTAGTCTATAGTCTAGTCTATAGTCTAGTCTATAGTCTAGTCTATAGTCTAGTCTATAGTCTAGTCTATAGTCTAGTCTATAGTCTAGTCTATAGTCTAGTCTATAGTCTAGTCTATATCTAGTCTATAGTCTAGTCTATAGTCTAGTCTAGTCTAGTCTAGTCTAGTCTAGTCTAGTCTATAGTCTAGTCTAGTCTAGTCTAGTCTAGTCTATAGTCTAGTCTAGTCTATAGTCTAGTCTATAGTCTAGTCTATAGTCTAGTCTATAGTCTAGTCTATAGTCTAGTCTATAGTCTAGTCTATAGTCTAGTCTATAGTCTAGTCTATAGTCTAGTCTATAGTCTAGTCTATAGTCTAGTCTATAGTCTAGTCCATAGTCTACTCTATAGTCTAGTCTATGGTCTAGTATATTCTAGTCTATAGTCTATATTATTCTAGTCTATAGTCTAGTCTATGGTCTACTATATATTCTAGTCTATAGTCTAATATATATTCTAGTCTATAGCATAGTCTAGTCTATAGTCTAGCCTGTAGTCCAGTTTATAGTCTATGGTCTGGTCTGGACTGTTATATAATCGGATCTTTAAATGTTTCTTAATTATTAATTTCTTTTATTTATCTTTCTTTTAGCCGCTCAAATGAGTGTTAATTTAAGTGGAGCTGTGCCACCCTCAACAGTTGTACCTATTTTGCCCATTAAGGAGGATACTACATTACCACCCAACACACTGCACCCACTACAACAGCTAGCACTACAACCACCACCACCACTACCACTACTACTACGGCTGCTCCTACCACCACAACTACTACGACAACAGCAAAACCCACGACAAACTGTAGCACCCACAACCACTACAGCTGCTCCCATAACGACCACAACACCAGCACCCAAACCTTATCCAGAACCAGAAATTGGAACCTGGAACTCCAGTTGTGTAATGGTACGAATGGCAGCTCAATTGAATTTCACTTACGATACCAAAGGTAAGCTCAGGGAAAATCTAGATAAGAAAATAGTTTTTTTTTAAATAAATTTCCTTTCTTCCATTTAGATAACAAAACAGCCTTTGCTTTGTACAACATCCCCAAGGATTCCAAAGTTGAAGATATGAGCTGTGACATGAATTCGACACAATTTTTACAGGTCAATTGGGGACCAATCACTGCTCAACACACTATGGTTTTACAATTCGATCGTGTTAATGGCACCACCAACATGACCATGATGATGTTTACTTTACCCTTAATGAGTGATCATTTTCCAAATGCTAAAGGTGAGAGTTTGGTATTAAAACTATAAACAAAACAGCTTTTAATGGTGTTATGTTCTCTTTGCAGAAAATCAAACCATACAATTGATCTACCGTGGTGGTATTTTCACAGCCCCCACTAAAATGTCTACCACTGTACTCGTCCTCAGGTCTTCAATTTAACCGAAACCGTTATGAACAAAGAAGTATTGGGCACCGTTAAGGTTCACGATGTTCAAACTGAAGCTTTCCGTTCCGCTAATGCTACTGGCTTTTCGACTGCACGCGACTGACAGTTCGGAAACTCCCGATGTGGTACCCATTGCTGTAGGCATTGCTTTGGTAGCTTAATTATCATAGTATTGGTATCTTATCTGTGTGCTCGCCATCGTTCCACTTCTCGTGGCTACATGAGCTTCTAAATACGCTAAGTAGAGTGGAGAGAGAGAGTGCGCAAAAACCTCGCTCTAAAATATTTTAAATTTTATTACACATTTTGAAATTCAATTAGTAAACTGTTTTAGTTACAAAATGAGAGGTTTTCTTTAAATGTTTCTTTTATTTGGAAATTTAATTTTTTAACAAAATATTACCACAAAGACTAAATAATTGGCTTTTACTAAAAGCTTAAAAGGGGATGAATGATTATATACAAAGAAACCAAGTTTTTAAATTTAAACATTTTAAAATTGTATAAAGAAAAGGCAGCCCTTTAAAATAATCGAAACTTAAGGCTGTCTTAAGTATTTTATGTAACAACAACAAAATAAAATAATTGGAACGAGGGTATTTTCTTTTTAAACATAAACGAACTTTTTTAAATAAAACATGAAATTGTTTCAAATTTCTTTTATTATTTAAAATGTTTGGCTAAAAAAATTCTCTGTAAAATACGTTTTTAAAATTTTCTTTTAACTTTAATGTTTTTTTTTATATAAATATCTAATGAAATATTTATTTTTGATTTTTTTCTCTCTTAAACTTCTGCTTCTTTCTTTAGTATTAAT